ATGATTAATAAATGTTCTTTATACTCACAGACTAAATTAATGCGAATGAAATGATTTGAAGGGTATTACATAATAGTAATTGCATAATAGTAATGGTAAATAAGTATTTATGTTCTTGATTATTTAATTCCAATGACTAATAAATGTTCTTTATACTCACACACTGAATGAATGATTAATGAGAATGAAATAATTTGAAGGGTATTACATAATAGTTATTGCATAATAGTAATGGTAAATAAGTATTTATGTTTTTGATTTGTGAACTTGCTTTGTGTTCAAAATTCCAATTATTAATAAATTGTTTTTTTTATACTTACGGACTAAATTAACAGAAACAATTAATTAATATTTATGAACGTAATTGTAATTAACAGATTTTTTATACTTACTCTCTATTAAATAAAATTGGATTATTAAAATTGTATGAAAATATTCTCAATTTTAAAAATATTAAAGATCAAAAAATTAGCTTACTTGTTAATCCATTCCCTATATTTACTAACATTTGCTTCTACGCCAATTCCGTAACGGTAGCAAATAGCAGTTTTATAAATTCCATTTAAATTACCTGCCTCCACTGACTTCAAATAATATTCGAACGCTTTTTGCTCATCAATTTCAACACCAATTCCTAAATTATAACAATAACCAACTTGATACATTCCGTCTGGATTATTAATGTTGGCGGATTTTTGATAATTAACGAATGCTTCGTTTTCATTCTTTTCAACCCCAATTCCAAACTCGTAACAGTAACCAAGCAAATAATTTCCGTTTGCTTCATTTGTATCTGCGAATTTTTTACACTCATCGAAATTTAGTTGTTTAAAAGCATCGATAATTTTTTGTGCCATTTGTAATTGCAAAAAAAATACGTTGAAAAAAAACGGTAATGCAACTAACATACAGCAATTTTTTATTTTTAGTGTGATTGTACAATATTCTAAAAAAATTGTACGTACCAGTGTAATTCTGCACAGAATTCTGCATAAAATTCTATAACAGAATTCTATGACAGAATTCTATGACAGAATTTGATGCAAACAAAAAACAACGTGGCAGGAATTCAATGTAATCACGCACATTTATGCACATGCGCAAAGAAAATATGCATAATTGCAATTTGATAAAAAACGGTCTTTATAATTATTATTAATAAAAAACAGTCTTTGTAATTATTAATTGAAAACAGTCTAAAAAAATATTTTACTTGTTATAGTGAACCTTGTTATAAAAATTTTCTTGTTATAGTGAACCTTTTACGTAATTAATAGTGAATTTACTAATATAAGTTACTTTAATTATAATAAAATAATTAGGCTTTAAGATTTTTCACTACATATTAAATTTTTTTATTGTAAATTCACTATATAAAAAGGTTCACTATAACAAGATTAATTTTTTTATGTAGTGAAAAAAATCTTTTGCCTAATATATATTTATTATAAAAAGCAACTTTGACTGTTTTCTATTAATTGGCATGTCAAATTGACAATCCAAATATAAATTTATATTATAAAAAGAACTTTAAATATTTAATATAACTTTAAATAAAAAAAATAATAATTTTGCAATCAGAGAATTTAAACACTTTGAATCCAAAATTTACTATTATATTAAAAATAAATAAAATAAATAAATATAAGTATTTTATAATTTTTATATATTAAAATTTTATAACTTTTAAATTATATTATAAATATACTTATCTGTTAATAAAATATTTTTAAATTTTCAAGTTTTTTCTTCAGGTCTTCTTTGGATTTTCGTCAGAGTAAAAGTGTTTAAATTCTTTTGGTTGCAAAAATGATTATTAAAAAAAAGTTATATATAATATATTTAATATATTCTTTTTATTATAAAAGTATTATTCAGATTATGATGTTCACCAGAGAATTTTTCATGCCTTTATATATAAAATTTTCCATAAAACAGACACGTACAAAAATTTTTGTCAAAACAAATTAGCAATTCAAAATAAACATATGTGCCAAAAATAAAAAAAAAATAAAAACAGTTAAACGCGAATGTAAAGAACGTGAATCGTGTTCATATTCCGTGTTGTTTATGTTTCACAATGTTTATGTTTTACGTTTTTACACAAGTATATTTATATTATATGTATTCTCGATTTTTCAAATAAGGCGCGGCAATGTTTTCTGATTGGTTGATATTGATTAACCTAACACAAAAATACACTACTGAATATAGTTGTATTCAGATCTTAAACTCTCACGTATTCCCCATCATTTATCTATTGAACCAAGACAGCACTCAAAATTAGCTTCTTTACCTCGAAATCAATACGAACAACTCAAAATTTACTGATTACGAAGTAGAAGAATTTTAGGGCACGCTGCGATTGGGAACCTGAGTTCACGAAAAACATACAAAAAAAAGGTGCAAAATGGATAGCACCAAAAAATTGCACCGTGAGTCTTTTACTATTTTTAATTTATATTAAGCTCTCAAAAGTTGTCATTTCTAATAGTGATTCCTTTTCTAGGCACTAGATCTATTAAAAAATTCCTATAAGGAAACCAAAGAATCTTTCATGTCAACGTCATTGCCTGAACTAGATATAGCATTAGGCGAAGGCATACCATGCTCATCTTTAACAGAACACACAAATTTAGGCAAGACTCTTACACTATCAATTCTTGCCACATTACCTGTTGGTATGAATCGTCTTTACGGAGGAACATTCTCAAGGCGCTTTCCCTGCAGAAAGGTATTTTTAATGTCTTTTTTTGGACATTTTAAACCATGCTTTATTTTTTATACATGATTCTCATTTTAAGATCTATAGGTTAATGGAAATCGCAAAGTATAAATTCCCATATATTTTCGGTGATGAAAATCCACAATGTCAGGATAATCTGATAAAAATGACCAATGCAGTTCATTTAATGAAAACCAAATCCTCTAAGGAGTTGGCAAATATGTAAAAAAAAATTAAAAATCTTTATTTTCGTTGAAATTTATTTTTATTATTTCCTTATTATAAAATGGGTTCCTAGATATTTATTTTTTTAATAGAAAATTTTCAAGAATTCATTATTGAGAAAAATATTAGGTTACTGATAATCGATTCATTTAGCTCTTATAACTAGAGATTGGAACCGCCCAAAATTTTTCTTAATCGTTTAACCGTTTAATTTGGCCAACATTAAAATAATTCCAGCCCAAGATCAACATAATTCTGCCCGGAACTATGGAGCAATTTTTAAACGGCTAAACAGTTCCAATCCCTACTTATAACAAACGAATTTATTGGTAAAAAAGATTCCTTAGACAAAGAAGCCGATTACTAGTTAAATTTGCTGCATGGGTAAAGTAGGTAATCATAGCATTTCATAATGTGTAAAAATCAATTTTTTACTCATTTTATTTTAATTTATTTTTTATCTCAATATTTAATAGATTCTTATCTGAATCATTTAATATGCCGACAATCGTGATAAGTCAAGTAATTTCAGTGAATAACATTCAAGATGCATTAACAGATATTACAATATCAATTATTATTGGCAATAATAGTTTCGATCTTGAGGTAAAATCCTTCGAGCAATTTTAGTACACGATTCAATAAAAAAAAAAAAAAAAAAAAAAGCCTTGAGTACATTAAGATTCTCGTTAATTGAAAGCGAGTAACATTTATCTGCAAAAAAATTGAAATAACGAACATGGACGTTATTTCGAAGTCAAATCCTTTAAAATGGTATAATTGGTTCCAAATAAGCCTACGGCGTCCCGAAATAACGCTCAAAGAATTGACTTTTATCTCGACATAACGCACATGACGTACTCAAAATAACGAACAAACGCCCATTATTCGAGTTTTTACGTACTTATTGTATTACAAGACCATGACCATTCCAGTATCATAAAATTCTTTAAAATCATTAAGCCCATATGGTATAAGGTTTATCAAGCCAATCAAATTATTAATCATCCGTCTTTTTTGTATTATATAAATATCTATTCAATCATAACCTGGTCTTGGTTTATAAATCCATTTCTGGTTAGTTTTGCGAGTACTCACAACTTCAACACCTCTTTCTCGCGCTTTGAAGGTTTCTATCTTTGTAAGCAATACAACCGCCTCATTATTATTGCCTCCTTTTCCTGATTTGTTATGAAAACCGTTATCCCCGTGATTCTTGGTATGCCACAGACAGATGCCAAGAATGCGATCATCCAAATTTTCTTTTTATCTTCACCATCACCAAAATCAAATTCTCACGAAAGTTAATTTCAGATACATAATTGCTTTTACTTGTCTGAACTCTGAGTTTTTTAGACAATGATAAAGCTCGTTCAAGATAAGTAACTGCCTCGGATGCTGCAGTGTCGAGAGGGGGTGGGTTAAGTTTTAACTCATCCAATTCCGTAAGAATAAGGAAAAAATTAAATAAATAGAATAAAATAAAATAAAACTCAAGTGTTTCTATTATATTAACTAGTGTTCGGATCCTCTATTTGGATTCGAATTCGATCCACTAACGAATCAGATCGGTCCGAACCTTTTACAGAACACCAATATTTAATATTTACTTACTTACCAACCAAACGTACAACCACAATCCAATTATCACTTTAGATGATTTTTTTGACCATGTTGAGATCCCCGATAAGGCAATTGTATCTATCACAATTGTAGTATATCCTGCAGCAATTCTAGAATGCGAAGGTGGTGTCACCTTTTTCGTTGCATGAGAGGTATTTTTCTTGGAATTCTTTGACTAAAATTTATGTGTTGAGGACCCTCACAAGTTGCAGCTAAAAGACTCTCTAATTCTTGTTTGCGAGACTAAATAGGATAGGTAACATAATATCATGTATATAGTGTGAATATTTACATAAATATTTATATAAATAAAGTCATACTTTTAATTCTGTAACCCCTTCATCGTCTGACTCATTGTGATTTCATCAACTAATTTTAAGGAAGTCGTAAAAGTGATTTTCAATATTAAAAATCTTAAACCAATGATTTTCTGTAAGACAGTAAATATTACATTCATCATTGATAAAGAAAATATGAATAAATTCTATGAGTAAATGAACGAATTAAATTACCTTAGTTAACAGACAACCCAATTCCATAATCCTTGCTCTACGACGACTTTTAGAATCTTGATCATAAATCAGATTCAAATCATCATTAATATTATTTATGACAAGTTCAATGTCATCATCCACAAATTTTATATATAGTTTAGGTACATGTTCAAACATATAAGGTTCATAAAGTGATGAAGCCAAGAAAAATTCTATAATTTCTTTTATGGTAAATGGAGATACTTGATAGGCAATTTCTGTGAGGAATCAAACCTAAGCATCCCAAAAATAAGGACAAATAGATTCGTCCAAAAATTTTCTCCAAATACAATCATTAGATTTTTCAGCAAATTTATTAAAGCATCATTTACTACCATCCAAAGTAACACGATCTCATAATATAAAAGCAAGCTCTCAAAAAAATCGACTTCACCCTGAAACTATATAGAGTCAAGATATTTAGACATGAATTGATACATGACAGTAAAAGTGAGCCTAGATGCTTCAGCAAATGTTGGAT